AGCTTACGAACCACTCGTCATAACCCGTCAGTCTATGGTCGTTATGGTTTAATGATACAAAGAAGGGGCATGACTAGGATTGCACAATCTCGTGCGTGTGTTTTGGTTGGTGGGCTTACTATGCCTGTTGAATGAGTGTAAATTTTGTTAGAACCATCACTGGGATGAAAATTTGGGTCGCTTTACATCATCTCTTCCCTTTAATCTTTCAATCAAGCATAAAAGTTCTTACTCAGCTTTCTATTACCATTCCTCACATTCAGCATTTTTGACAAAATCACTTGATCCTATTCTAATTCTAAATTTCTGAACTTTTTATCATACATTCGCTAATCCGCATCAGTCATTATGTAAGAAAGAGATTGTATCAGCCTGGTTTGGGTCCTAATTCATTCGTGCAGTCTTTTGGTGCTTTCCTTAATCCCTATGCACAAGGAGAGGGTTCGTTTAAGAGTTATTGTAGATAGTAACGAAACGTGATGCAGAATATTTCACGTTTTTCATGCATAGCATTAAGGAAAGATGCTGATGTTTGGCTATATTCCGATAAAATTTTTTATTAGTTTGCAAAACTAGTTGATCCGCATAAAATTTATGAGAAAGGCAGGCCAATAAATTTTTACATTACATCGATTTACACAAATATTCCTGTTCATAGAGCCATATACTCTCCAGTTAATACTCTGGAAGAGGCCCTAGAGATTATGCAATAAATAATCTTGAGGATAGCTTGCATCCGAAGACTTTTAACTTATCCATGAGTAGTACTTATTTTATCTAAGACGGTAAATTTTATGAAAAGGCACAAGGACTTGCTTCCATTATGGCGAATAACTACATGGAAAAATTTGAGCAGTACTTAGTGCTAGAGCTAATTTTGATCCGCTAATTGTTTTTTAAAATATGTGAATAACTATTTAATAATTTAGCTGCATGATAAGGACACCAACCAAAATAGGCGTATATGATTGCGCTATCCCAATCATGCCTCTTTCTTGATTCGTTAGGCATTAATCACCCTATACTGGCGGGTTTTGACGAGTATTTCGCAAGCTTACCTGCTTATTTGCTTAGTAGTATATATGACATGTTGGATAGAGCCCGACAGTCTTCTTCATTCAGTTCCAGCTTTGGTTTTGTCCATGAAGGCTAGCCCAGTTTTGCCGGAAACGAGGCAAGAGGTCTCGTGGACTGCGTCGGCATGAACGTTGTATTAAAGACAAATGGTTGCAGAAGAACAAAAATCAGCCGTCGTCATCCGGTGATATCGACCAACAAATCTATTTATAATGAATGTACTTTCCTGCAAAATGTAAGTCTCCAAGACAATACTGAAAATAACACTGACATGTAATGAATGAACATCGTATTGGAAGGTACAAATACACAGATATTTGCATGCTAATTACAATTAACTCCATCGTATTCATCCAGTGAAATACGGATAGAAGTATGGCAGCTGTCGTAAAAAAGGATTGGCTTAAATCCGACCGAAATATTATGGTTTTACATCAGAACAACAAGATGAGTCTGAGTGCATTCATGCATGAATACCTTCAAAGACCAACACATTTACGCAAACACACACGCACACAGAAGAAGCAAGAGAGAGTGAATAAATTTGAAATTTTTTCAAGTTATTTTACTTCTCAATGTCATGCCAACTCCTGGTTACCGCTTGTTGAGCGTCTTAAGCCAAGCGTTCGTTATTTAACCACTTCTGCTTCATCAACGACTGACTTTTTGGCACAGTCCCAACACAGTGGTTCAGTTATGTTTTAAGCAAAATCTACAATTTTAATAATTTATATTTAGAATGTTGTCTCATATTGAGAATGTGTTTCAGGACAGCCGTACGTTCAAGTTGGAGGAGGCCCTTGATATGCTTTCAATGATCCTAACACTCAGTTGGTCATGCAACTTTATGGAATGCTAAAGACTGTTATTACTCAAGTGAAAGGGTTTTTAACGAGTCCTCTTGCCTCGTTAAGCTCACTTCCAATCCGAGTGAAAGTGTTTGGTGAAAAGGTTCAAAGGTCGCTCCCACCGGAAGATGGCGGTGAATTGCTGATGACCAGTTGTCGATTGGCTTTACGGGAAAATTCTTGTTGATGTTGATTTAGAGGCAATCTCTGAATTCTAAACAGGTTGCCTCGGAAAGAAAGTTAAAGTGAAATCGAATACGAAAAAGAAAACGAATCAAAATAACATTGTAAAGGGTCCTGGCCAATGTAAGTTTGCTTCAATGACATTGTTTTGTTTTACAAATTGTGATATGGACCGAGTGACACCTGTCTGCTGCATCGGCACAACCCGTGTTTTTTTATTTCTTCTGAGAGTGCTGATGATACCAGATCATGCGAGGTCAAAACTGCAATTCAGCCCGTGAGACTGACTACCTTTTGGGGAGTGAGGCACGGTAGAGTCCACAGGAAGCGTCAAGCCTATTTCCATGGTTGTGGGTATATTCACTATCGGATCTTAATCAAATCTATGGACTAAATCTTTTATTAAAGATGTACAGATAGTCTCGAAATCCTAATCGAAAACGATTACTGAAGACTGTTCTTGGGTAGGCGAAAAGAGTCTTTAACAAGTCCTCTTGATTTGCATTCATGAGCCAAACAGAAATTAAATCTAAACTACCAGAAAACTGCTTGGATTTTGTGTTGGTTTGTATTTTCCTACCAATTTTATTTTGTTTCTTTATTGACACATTTTTCATAGAACCCTACAGCCGATTCTAGATATATGCCGGTTAGATTATTAGGTACGTCTTTTAATACTGGAATTTTTCCATACAATATTGAATGGCCTTGATCTTTAATTTGCTGCTTCTGTTCCTCAACCTGCATTCATCTCGCCATTATCCTCCGATCTTATCTATTCGTATATGCTTTCTTCCCTAACTTTTCCGAATCTATATTTTATTTGGATCAGACTATTGAGCAGATTCGAAGGTCAAGATAATGTCGTCTTTAGCTCTGCATATATCTAGTTTAACATTTTTTCGCAAATTAGACATATTTTCAGGGGGACTTTGGGGAATCCCACTTCTTTTCAACAGACCAATAATCATGGAGCTCGAGTTCTCCTGCCACTGTTACGAGTTGTAGCTTGGTAATAAAGAGGGCTCTACTCTCTGACGAAGCCAATGAAACGTGTGAGGACGTGGCGAGGTTGAAAGAGACCAGAGCAACAATAGCAGAGCAAATGCTTCAAAGTCGTCCTGAAAGCGCTATTAAGCCGCCTAAACGCTTAATGGGTGCCTTAATTTTCAGTTTTGTCAATTAACATGAAGTGGCATAGTTCGCTCATCTTTAGTTTGGCTTTGCAAGTCACAGGCGCAGCAACTAACATGCTTTTAAGACTCTTCATATTTCATAAAATAGTGCATATTTTTTGTGTATGAAATAAATGAGGTGAGATGGCCTTCGATTTGGTGGCAGTCTCTTTCAGTTGCATAGTGCTGATTTGACCTGGCTTTCTCAACTTGATCGGAGTGACAAGGAGACCTTGCGAAACCTGTCTGGTCCTACGTCCTCCGCCCTCCACCTTCGAGTATTCACGATCACTTTCAGCATCAACCCATTGACTTGGCACAATTCCAGACGTTTCGTCGGCATCGTAGTTGCCATTCGCATCACAAAGTTGCGACTTAAACAAGTGAACAATTTTCCGTTTAGCCCTTGTAGCATCACTTCTTGCTCCTATTTTTTGTCCGGGCTTCTAGAGCTGCATCTTTTTTCTCAATCCAGCCTCAGCTATTTGTATGAAAAAAAATTGGGCTTGAAGGTTGTCTTTGTGATTTATTGTGGCATTACGTTCCATTTCACAGGAACAGTTGGCTGGAATGAATTTGTGAATTGGTCTCACCGGAAGCCTAGGAAAGATCGCTGCAGGGTTAAGTGAAGACTGATGAACTGTGCAAACGAGTCCTTGGCCCAACGTCAAGCGAGGCCGATAGACCCGTTCTTAGCTTGCATCCGCCATGTTACAGACATACATCTAAAGCATCCTTTAAGAAAAAATGCACAAAATACAATAAACCATACAAATAAGGTATGAAGACCAAGATGGTGTGGCCTTTTGTGTGGTCGCAGTCTCCTTTCGTTGTATAGAAGTT